ACAAAATCTGACTTAATGAGATGGTTCACGAATTAATTTTAAATTTTAGCTCAAAATTAGGCATGCTTAGAATTAAGCAGAATATGAGCGTAGCCCTTTAAGTGATTCATAATAATACGCAATATTAATAATGATATTATAAGCATTGGCATACCTCTTCTACCCTCCTGGAAGGCTCGGACCTCATAGAATATCTGCGAAATGTTCCCTCTTTACGCTTCCCTTTTTTATCCTTCTCTTTCCATTTAGCTTTCTCTTTCTCTTTTTCCTTTTTATTTTGCTTCCCGGCCTTCTTCTCCTTCTCTTTTTTCTTGCGCGTTTGCCGCTCCAACTCCTCCAACTCGCGACGGCGTTCCTTCTCTGCCTTCTTTGCCTGCTTCCTATCTAGCCGAAATACCTCATGAATTCCATGATCTTTCCAATCATCCGGCAAAAAGGTCGTATTAGTTATCGACACATTCATACCATCTACTGCAGTAGCTTGATCCCAGATGGTTGGAAAGATAGCAGCAGTCCAATTGGATTGCGAATCCCTGCTACCGAGTAAAAATGTATCACAAGGGCGACTGACCGAAGGGGCAGTGACTATTGTGGTAATCGGCTGGATTGGGGCCTGAGTTGAGGCTCTACTACTTGTACCAATGTCACAGGGTGTGAGTTGAGTGTATTGGAGGGATCCGAATTGGGGTCGGGTAGGAGATGAGGCTTCTAAAGAGTATAGATGAAAAAAGTGAATGTAGATAGCTCAAAGGAAAAATAATTTAGCTATGATATTTTAGTTGTCTTTGGTCTGTCTTTCTAACTTTATCAAGGAATAAAGCGATAAGAATAACAAGAATAATGATAAAAATAAAGGTATGTCCAGGCCGCAAAACAACCTTAAGAGTGAATCCTGGATAATAATATAATTATTTAACCCAGGAACAAATTTTAAATGCTCGATACCAATCATATGAAAAATAATTTTCTAGACGAGAGTCCAAATTATATTGTTGGGTTCCAAAGAAGGACTTGAACTGTTTCTAAAATATAAAACGCTTGTCATTAACAACTCCAAAGATGGAGGCTTCAAAACGAAAATAGAAAAGGAAAAGTAGTATTACCTATTTGTCTTAGTTTCAAACGGCTGAACACAGTATGGTGGGGCTGACAATAGAAATACAATAAGTTAATGATTGCGCGAAATAGAACATTCTAAACTCCGCGGACCACCGCAGAGTAGAGAAATAGAAGGAAAAGGATGTGATTAATTTAAACGGAATGTTAGCTACTTGATATACCCTTGCGTAGCTTCCGATGTTAACCTCTGATTATACGAAGCGGTGTCAAGCCTTGAATGTACAACACGAAATAAAGTCAAAATTAGTTACGCACTCACGTGAGCTCAGCGCTAAACGATGTTGAGCCATAGCTACGTATGGGATGTAACAAAAACTAAACATTGAATGGGAAGTGTGGGGATAGGTCACTACACTATCCTAAATATGATTTGAATAAACTTAATCTCGGAAATATCACAGTTATAAAAAGTTTGTTGAGAAAATAAACTGGTGAAAAAGGTCGATGAGTCTAACAAATCAACATATGTTAAAATCATAACTCACTGGAAGCTTGCAGAGTAATGTCTCTTGATATGGGCAACTTAGTATTGCTAGATCCTTCATCACACCCAGAAGCAGCTTCACGACCAAGAGGACAATCGGAGTTTGTGATACTAGCGGTAATCGGACGGGTAATAGCC